AGTCGAGGCTGTAAGCAAAGCGGACCAGTTCTGTGCACAGCTCATCGGAAAGAAAGCAGAAATGGAGCAACGAATGGCCGATGTTCAATTGGCTATGCTCCAATCGACACGGAACGAGGACAGAAACCATATGGCCGAACACTCTTACCATTCAACGCCGACCATTCCAGCGGTCACCTACACAATGCCGGCATATCCACCAAAGTTGGAAATCCCCAAATTCTCAGGACGAAGAGCTGACTGGGACAACTTCTGGGCCATATTCTCCGCCAATATACATGAACAGAGGGCCATATTCATCAGCCCTATGCTGAAATTCAACTATTTGTGGCAGTATCTCGAAGGAGAGGCACGAGCACTGATCTCAAGGTACCAGGTCTCAGAAGAAAACTACCCGGAAGCCATTTCTTGTCTCATAAAAAAATATGGGGATAACGACACAAGGATAGAAGGGCTCTTTGCGGAAATCTACAATAGCAAAGCAGTAGGGTAATTGCATGAAAAAAACGAACAGTATAATTTTAGGCGACTTCAATCGGTCCTTGACTGGGATAACCTTCGTGCACTCAACTCATCTTCAAGCGTTTTTCTTTAATTTTTCCGGGAAAGCGGCTTGCAGCAGCAGGTTTGTCAAACGATTTATGGAAACAACGTACTTGATTTAGTTCTATCTTCTTTTCCCAACGTCAGTGAAGTGTCAAATGCCCCTCCGCTCGCTAATTCGGATCATGCCTCTGCACGTTTCAAGAAGTTGGCAGAATTCAGGAGCGATTCCGCTTTGCCTTCCCCGGATTTCTCGAAGGTCGCCTATGGAGGTCTTGATGCCCACTTTTTGAACATTGACTGGCTCACCTTGTTTGAACAATATGATTCGATGGGTGACATTTACCGTAGGTTCTGCAGAATTGTCTACGATGCATTGGCATTATTTGTACCGTTAAGACTCCCCAGATTTCACTCTATCAGGTATCCTTCACATAAAATGAACTTGCTGGTTCAGAAAGTGCGCCTATCATGAATTTGGAAGCTCCCTTGAGTAGCTCTCTGCACAAGAAAGTCTGCTTTGATGTTGATCGCCGTTTGAAGAAGTTTTTTTCGAATCTAGAGCGCCGTTTAGGAAAGCAAGCATCGCTAGAGCATCGTTTAGGAAAGCAGCAGAGCGTCTGCACCTATACCTTCGTGATAAATTCAATTCCAAGCCGGTCTTCCCACTTTAGAGAATCATTCGGTACCAGGCTCCATGTGGATTCCGCCAAGGCTGAAGCTCTAGGTAGATACTTGTACTTTTAGCTTCTTGCTCCTCAGCTAGTGATGGTAACTTGGAAAAAGTGACAATCGTCCCTCACAAGGGAACCCCAACAGGTCGATCCGGCCATTTACAATGAGACGTATACGTATGGGCGTGTCTTGAGCCACTGAATCCGAATCTGCCCTCCGATTTTGCGGAACGATTCTCTGAAGGGAGTTACGGACCATTTAATCTTTGCTGTGTTTGCACAAGCTGACCAGGAAAGGCCAACACGTCAGCCCGGCCATTTGCAACGAAGTGTACATCATTGTACTCACCTTGCCACGATGAACACAAGACTGTCTTTGAAATTTGCGGAACGATTCTCTGAGTGGAGTTGTGAGGTTTTTCTTTATTGCTTTCCTTCTTCCGAACGCGCCAGCGTCAAAGCGTTAGCACCTGTAGCGCAACTCACAGCGCTCTTCACGCAAAACAGGTATCATATTCGTGTTCAGAGGGTCGAATAACCCCTAGAGACGTCACCCCAGCGGAATCCGGGTTCTAACTCATTTTCGAGAAAATGGAATATGAATAGCTGTGGTTGACTGATGGCCAAAGCGATACTATGACTACCATACTGATGATGACTGGTTTTCCAACTGAAATACCTCTTCATGTGCCTTTTCGCAAAGACATTACCCGGCTTACTTATTCTTGCCGTTTGCATCATCGTCCTCATTTTACACGAGGTAGTTCATTCTCGAGACCATTCACAACGCTTGGTGAGCTCCCTATTGCCTTCGATAACACATGAACAGCACCATTTTCCAAGTTAGGGGTGGAAATATCACATTCGCGCCTAGAAATTTGTCCCCAGGGGTAGTTTGGACCGCTGAACATGAAGTATGATGTTATTTCAATGCACGAACCCTTACATGTGGTTATCCTCATGATAAAAAGTTTTCAAGAGGAACCCTGCATAGGGAATCGCACGACTTTCGTGGCGAACTAATCAAGAAATTAGACGAAATGGCCAAATTAGAAATTTCGGAGGGCTCATACCAAGTGTTTTGAATGAAAAGCAAAAGGTTTCGATAGCAAGGGATTCCAACATTTGATCTCGTGGTCTCTGAAGCAAGGCACTTATCCAATAGGCCATCGGCGGCTGAGACACGTCCATATTATACATCTCACTGCAAATGGCCCCGATCGACCTGTTGGGGTTCCCTGTCAGTGCGGTATCCCGAATATCTATTCTCACCCAAACGATGTCCGCATTTTGCTTTAAACAAACCGAAACCTTCTCATAGCGAACCTTTCGATGGAATACCTCAAATACTTTTATGGAATGTCATTACTCTCTATGTAAGCCCTTGCATACATGTTCAATATTTCCCCCTGCTAGGTGAGGTTCCTCAGATCTGGAAGAAGCCATCATGACGGCAGTCCCCGTCTTCAAGTGCCACCGCTGTTAGCGATACAGACCCATTAGCCTTATTTCAACACCGGTGAAAGTCATAGAAAGATGGTTTTTCGCGTAAGTATATTGTCTTGGTTTAGCCGCCAAAACCTTATTGCCGCGGAGCAGCATGGTTTCCTGCCTGAAGCTTCAACCTGTAGGAATTCTATTGGCACTTTGTATGACGTTTGCAGAGCCTTTAACCAGGGATGTCAGTAGATATCATTCATCGCGACCCGGCTAAGGCCTTCGATAGAGCTTGTCATCGGAAACTACTAAGCAAACTGGAGTGTTATGGTATCTGTGGCAAGATAATTGACTGGTTCAGACCTCTTCTAGAGCAAAGAAGCATGGCTGATGGAGCCAGGACTAGTTTCTCGAATAAATTTCCCTGAACTAGTGGGGTCCCGCAAGGAGGTGTTTTATCCTCCTTGCTGTTCCTGATTTACACTGTTGAGCTGCCCCGGCTTCTTAAGACACATTCTGACATTCATGTACAAGGTTATGCAGATGACATCGAAGTATACTATGCATATGAAAAAGGGAACAATGTCGCTCTGCAAGATGCGCTCAAAACGTCAGGCGAAAAAATGTGTGAATGGGCAACTTTATGGGGCATACCCCGAACTTAAACAAATGTTTGGAGAGAGCGCAGCTGTCGAGTATGTATTGAAAGGCGTAAAGCTTTCAACATGTACTCCTACTAGAGACCATTATCGGGCACACGGGAATGCAAGAAGTTAACAATCTGAAGAATGTACGAAATTGTTTCCAAGAGGATCTGATTTATAAATCACTAGGGTTGACAGTCTTTGCACTATCAGTCCGTCCACTGGATCGCTGAGATGCAGGACCCATCCTACTATATGTAAACGGCAACGTCTGTCTGTCTGGCTGTTTGTCTGTCAGTCTGTCTGTCTTTCTGTCTGTCTGTCTGTCTGTCTGTCTGTCCGTCCGGAAATTCGGAATCACCTGAAGAGCCAGTCAGAGGGGGCGGGTCAAGGGTGGGTTGGGTAGGGCATGGGCCAAGATGTACGAGACCTACATGAACTGAGCTGTGCCACTGGGGGCGGGGCGTGCACATTTGTGAGTGCATATTTCGAAAATTCGTAGTTCGGTTCCAAAAAAGCTCGGGGTGTGGGAGAAGTAGCAAACGATAGGCAATCAGTTGGCGGACGAAATCAATGAAGCGCACCGGGACGATGGGCGGGACGTTCGCCGAACTAAACGGTGCTGAGGACAAAACCCTCAAAGCGCATCCGAAAAACCCTAGGACATTGGGTGTAAGGTGAAACTGAGCAATGGTTTGGCAGATGAACATAGTGAGGGATAATCGTAGGGAGTATACCAAATGGTTGAGTCGCGATAGTTCATAATTCAGTTCCCAAACATACAAATGTGGCATAATAGCAGTGGACACGGTATGTGCCACAGTGAATGGGAGTCAAAATCAAGGGTTCGTAAATCAGTATGTTTACTTATTTGTTTATTTACCTACTATTTACTGCACATTTAGGCAAATGCATATTCCTACGTCAGTTCATCCACTAATCATAAAATACTGCCAGACCACACATTGACTATACAGTAGTTTCACAGTTGTTTACCATCGGGAGGGTACTCGCTGATCTCTATCCTACTATATGTAAATGGCAACGTCTGTCTGTGTGTCTGTCTGTCTGTCTGTCTGTCTGTCTGTCTGTCTGTCCGGAAATTCGGAATCACCTGAAGAGCCAGTTGGAGGGGGGCGGGTCAAGGGTGGGTTGGGTAGGACATGGCCTCATGGACTATGCACTCTCAACCCTCCAGCTGGAACAATAATATGGTTTTGATCGTCCCTCCCTGACGTATTTTTTTCACTTTTTCCGTGGCATTCCCGATAATGTTTAGCAAAAATGAACCCTATTATCAATGAACCCTATCATATATAAGTCCATGCGACTTCACGGATAGATTTTTGCTTCACGGACCCTGTAGGTTCACGTACCCTACATCATGCGATAAACCTACCCAAAAAGCTTACTATGACCTCAAGGACCTTTCTTGCGAGTACCTTTTAGTGCGATCTCTCACGCTAGTATGCGGTGGACCATACTTCACAGACTGCAACCCTTTAGCTGCTTTGACGTTAAGGACCGTATAGAATGTATTCCTACCCAACTAGCCTATCTCGATAGGTTACGCTTCTCCACAACATTTTTCGCAAGGTTCGACTGAACCACGAGAGGAAGCTGGTACTTCATGGCTGAGCAATATTCATAAACCATGGTCAAAACTAGCTGATTTTATTAAAGCGAATTATTTGACTATGCTTCAATTCAACGACAGCGTTTCATGGTTGACCACAAAGAACCAATGGCGGAAATATTGTCTTCCCGTTATAAAAGCTATTGATCCGTTAAGACGATCTTTTGTATCGTGTTCGTTCAAAGTAAGTCTGTTCATATTCGTGACGCTGATATTAGCTGCATTTACGAGCACTCCAGTTATGAAAACATCATCAATCTAAAAAAGTTAACGGTATCCTCATTAGAAAGAATCCAGTGTGTTTAGCAACTGTGAAGGACATAGAAGCGTTAGCTCTGCAAATAATCACCCAGAAAAAGCGTTGGAGATGAACCACGTCGAGTAACCGTTTCACTACCGAAACGGAGGCCAAATAATACCCTCCAAGGCAATATGATGGATAGTTTGCTTCACTCCACTCTTCCGTCGTTACAGCCCTGAAAATAAATTGGTTGATGAAAGGCTGAGCTTGTCCTGAATCAAAAAGTTTGTGAGACTGGTATTCTGAAGCGGTCAAGTGTTCAAGCCTCTATGTGCTGCGCTATACTCGAAGTCCAATATTTCCAGTTAGCCGCAGCTTTCATGTGGAAATTTGCCGTAGTAGGACTCACCATGTGGATCTTGGATCTCGAATAGCTTCGAAAACATCATTCCTGGAAGTGTTGCATTAAGTACGTTTTCTCATTTTCCATTGGAAACAGAGATCTTAATGCGGTGCTTGAAATTTATCAATACGTCATGATTGAAACCATAATAATATATTAGTATTATTAGGATTATTGATATTCATTATTAGTATTATTGTTAATTATTATTATTATATTATTATATATTTTATTTTATTGTTATTATTATTCATTATTTTATTATTTTATATTATTTTCTTATTATTAATTTTTTATTATTATTATTATTATTGATCGGGGATTTCCGTGGACTCATACAAACCCCTCCCCCTCCCCTTCAGAGAGAACGGTACGAACCCCTTCCCTTTGTTGTTTTTCCGCCACTTTAGTTCCAGTAAAAAGCGTTTCGTTCAGACGTTTTCTGAAACAACCGAAGAGTGTAAAGTTTGTAGTTCATCGAGCCCCGTAGCGCCTTAAAGCACTGAACACCGTCAACTGAAGACACTGTGGATCTTTGTTGATTAACAAGATGAATCTACAATCAAGGGGTATTTCACTGTGAGCTCTAATCGCAAGCGGCGGAGGGAATTCCGAGCTACAACCGGGCTCGGCATATACCCACCAAATGCTGCGAGCTTTAATTACTGTCCTGCCCGCCTGCGTCTTTGATTTTGGAGTTTAGACGAGCCAGTCCATACACCCTTGTGTGAAGCACTCTTTAGAGAGCCATGACTTTCTTAATCAAGCACGATTGGAAAAATGCAGTTGTGAAGAAAAAGATTCGAGCTTCCCGAAAAGTATTGGGATGTTTATGAAGATTATCTGTTTTAGAGAGATAGTCAACGATGGGGATTCGTTGAGGGTTTTTGAAACTTGTTGCAAAACGTTTTACTTCGGACGAAGACAGTTTTCTTCCAATGTTAGAGTACTTGCAAGTAATTCTAATCGTAGTTTCTAAACGAGAAAAATATCTCTTCCCAGGAGCTACTTGTTTTGTTCCTGATGTTCCCGGGGTCCTTGAGTTGATGCCTTGGTGATTTTTTTGCAGAAAACATCATGCTGTGCGAAAAATCCGCTCTCTGTACCAAAGTGGACGTGATCAAATACTTTATTATACTCAAAGCTCCGTGAGACAGGAGTAAGCAATGTTGATTCAGCGCTTTTTTGGTTCGTTTCTGTATGCGCAATGCAATAGCCGTCAACGCAGAGGTAGTGGAATGGTGCAACTTCTACGTGATGCCAGTCTACGCGAGCGGATGTATTTATAGGATTCAGAGAGATTCATCACACTTGTTAACAGTCTTCTTCTGAGTCGGGTAAGCGACATCCCTTGGTGGAAAACGACATATAAAAATGATATGGTGTTCCTGACGCTTGTCGAGATAGAGAAAGGTATCCGGTGGACGCGGCGCCAAATGCATGATCACCTCAGATCAAGCAGTGAACCGAACCGTAGTTGCTACTGCACTGTTAACTCATCTACCTACTTACTGACCTGAGTCAACTTATTAATCTTCTACTTGACCTCTGGATTCCACTCGTCTGCTTCCCCATCCGACGGTTGTTATCCTCCCACCGATGACTTCGCCGTCAAACCCGGCTGGGAGTAGCGTCTACTGTTCTCAAACCTTTCTGGAGATAATCGCGGTCAACGCCGTGGCCGTTGTTCCCTACAACAGCGATTCGCGGATATCGAACAGGAACGGAAGTTTTGACGGAGTAGGAGGATCGCATTTGCTCATTGTTGCGGAGGGATCGTATTCAATTTTTGGCCTTCTAGGAGTGGTTGGGAGATGTTCCTGTTTCACACCTGCTGCGTGTTATTTACCCACCCCCCCCCCTCGACGGCTCGACTCGATGAGGAGGGACAGAGGGCCGTGGGTGGGATCGCACTAGCATGAGCAGTGCCTTCATCCCTTGCAAAAATATGAAGGGTTCTTTGATATCCCTTTTACTTTTGCTTGGTGTGGATGATGGAGTGAGCAAATTATTTTCATTTGGGTGCGTGTCAGGACTCACCGCCGCGCTCGAAACTCGGTCGCCGCACTAGGAAATGGGTCACCGCGCGCGGCGATTACATGCTTTAATATGTTTGCATGCTTAGACATGTCTACCTGTTTGGACTTGTTTTAGGCAGATGGAAGATGAGGAAAAGAGAGAACGCTCTAAGCAAACTGCGATAGGGTCATATCGATCGGGAGCTGTCAAAATGCCACGTCAGGGCTCACCGCCGCGCCACGCGAACACCGCGCGCGGCGGTGACTCCTGGCCGTCTCCCTTTTCATTTAAGCACTTGAAGCGTGGTTCAGCAATAGCGCTATCAAAGTGAAAGGGGCTCGCATGTCCTGTGCATGTGACTGCCGAAGGCTTGACCCCTTTTTGCCTTACTTCTTCATCCGTTTGTTTAGCGCATTCATTGAATATATTCAATACGAGAAATTAAATAGACTCTAGTTAGCTGCGGACGGTTGGGCGTATCAGGCGGTAGAGTGTGTGCTCACATCAAAACCCTTCACTGCCTTCTTGCTGGAATGCGCATGCGACAAAAAGTGGTAGAAAAAGAATAATACGAAAGATGTGATACAATTTATGAACTGCTCGCCCTAACAACTCGTGGAAACAGGGTACAGCATCGTTGTGCGAAACCCATCGGAGGGGGGGGGAAGGTTTCGTACTCGGCCGCTGGGAGGGGGGGTCGTAATCTCAAGCGACAGTCAACACCAGACAACGCTATGACGTTTCACTCGATAAAAGGAGTAGAGCTATGGAAGCCGCGATGTTTAAAACTGTGGAAATTTTCATGAGTGTGTTCTCGATGGATTTAAGCGCTCCGTTCATCAGCCTTCTTTTCATGCAGAATCCCCAGGAACTTAGCCGCAGGGGACGTGGGGAGGGTCGCAAATGCATTGGTCGGTGGGTATTAAGCAGCACAAAAGTGTAACGCTAAGTTTGATGGAGCGAATGGAAAACTGCAGATGGTCTGGATGTAAGGAATAAATAATAGAAAATTGATTGGCAATATAAACAGCTAGCACGAATTCGTAAGTGAGTAAATGACTAAATAATACGTCTCAAACAGATTCGTGCGTATTGTTCTTTCCAAACCTGAATCAAACATCTGCTTGAATGGGCAAAAATCACCTAAAATAAGAAGTTACACTTTTCCACCATCTCTGCGTAGAAGCGTATGCACGGCGCGCACTCGGAAAAAAATCGGTCACTGGTACAATCAAGCTCTTTTGTCACTCATGTGAGCGAGATTATGTGTTTTGGAGGCATACTGAAGTTCTTGTATGAATAGGAATGATGGCAGCAAAGGAGTCCAACTTTTGAGTGGCTCAGAGACTAGCGCGTTGGTAACCCATCTGAAATATCTCCTGAACTAGCGGGTCTTCAGGAAAACTGTAAAGCTTGTTGCAAAGCGAAAAGATAGGACGCCCTGAAGATTGCTTTGGTCCTGATGAAATTGCGTTTAAAATAAGTAGTTCTCGTGCTAAGCATAAAAATCCATTCGCATTTACATTTAGCCTATTCGAAACCCATTCGAAATATTTCACGGACGGAAAAATATTCGGTTTTGCAGCTAGGTAGAAAATGCAACTGGAAATTGTCTTCGCATACTGCTTACCATTCCTGGAAAGCTCCGCACCTGAAAGAATAATAACCTCCCGAGAGGACCTCAGGACGGTAGCTGGGTCAACAGCTGTGCTCCAATAAGGTTTTCCCAAGAAGCGGTCACAGCGTTGCAATCGCTTTCATACGTGTCAGTCGATATACTGCCGCCTGGTAGTTCATTTTTTCATTTTTACATTTTTTTGTGTCCTGCATGTTTCGCTTTGTTGTCTCGTGCATGTTCATGCGACTAAAGGATGACTTTTATCTTAAGAATAGCGTCCAGGTGTTTCAATTCCACGTCAGCACCCACTGATTGCACATCTGGGGCCTGACACACTGACTTCTGACTGAGGCTACTTTTTCCAGCAACTTTGCATGATCACCATTGTTTGCTGTTTCAATAATCTGTTTTAATAATGGTCCTCGTCATAATATAAAATAAGTTGCATCTCATACATGGTTTCCGAACACGTCGTTTTATTTTTGAACCCTGAAACAAAATTGTTGGCGAAGTGAAGCTCCACAGCCTCATATTGCCTGAATTTTGGAGCAAAGTCCGCACTGCAAGACCCTTGATTTCACTTTAGGAAGCTGTTTCTCTAAATAACCATACAGCTGTTTAGAGCAGGAGGGGTGGGGAGTTGTAACCGGACCCTCTTTGAAGGGGGGGGGCTAGTACTCACACCGCCATTTCGCCCACCCCCATACTGTAGCCTGGGTGGCGAATGGGTTTGGCAACGCAAACTCATCTCGCCCAGTGAACCGCCGCAGCGAACTATACTACAGTTAAGTGAATGTAATAGAAGCTTGTGAATGAACAGAAAAATTGTGGCTTATTATAGACGTTGGGCAGAAAGTATGTGTTGTCAAAATTCAATTACACGGAGTGACCGTAAAGTTCATCTGAAGTGAGGTTATTACTTCGTAAAATCGGAAACCCCTTGAACATCCCATCCAACATCGTCGTCCATTCTGAGAAGCGTCACGTTTCCATCACAGACCGATGCAAGATAGCGTAACTCAGCCAAGTGCTATAATCGTGGTTTGCTCAGTGATTTCGATAATGTTCGGTATTTTTTTCTCTACTTCTTGAAATCGGCGACCAATTGTGGACGTTCAAGCACATGGGAACTTGGTGGGTTTGGGTCGGTCGGTCTTTGAATGAATAGTCTTTCACTATCATTCTCTTCACAATCAGTCAGCCCTGCCAAGTTTCCCGTCCTGGCCTATTATACGGTGAAAGGTCAAAGTGAATGTTGAAAGTACTATCGAGATTGGGTTGAGTAAATGCGCGTCATCGAAACCAAACACCGCACGGGTTCCTTGTGCCGGCGAATTTAAGGGCGACATAGCTAGGGTACTGACGGGTTTTTAAGCTCACTAGGAAGTCCCAGATCGAAGCGGTTAGTT